GGGACAGAGGGACAGAGGAAGGAAAAAGAGAAGGAAGGAAGGAATGGGGAGAAAGAAAGGAAGAAAGAAAGAAAGAAAGAAAGAGAGAGAGAGAGAAAGAAAGCATAAATCTGCCTTTTCCCACCGCCCCCCATTGTGCAGAGACCCCCCCACCTGCCCAAAGGACTCCCCGCCCCCCGTCCCATCCCCAAAGCCAGAGCTCTGGAGGAAGGCGAAGAAGTTTTTCCGAAGCCTTTTGTTAATTGAAATGTAGCCTTTTGGATGATTTCCCTCTCCGGGAGCCATCCGAGCAAAGGAGGCCAGCAGGTGGAGAATGCTTCCAGCCCCCAAGGGGACTTATTAAATCTTCCTTCTTTCATTAATTAATTCCCCGTTAATGGGTCACCGCAAGCACGAAGCCAAACTTTTTATTAACAGGGAGAGGGGGGGGGGAAGAGAGAGAGAGGGGGAAAGATCAAGGGAGGAGAAGAAAAAAAAATGTTTTAAAAAATTGGGAACGGGGGTCCTCCTGGCAGAGACAGATGAGGCTACCGGGGGTGAGTGAGAGGGGGGGGGTGTCTTATGCCGGGCCCCACTCATTCTATGGGTCCAAATCCACCTTTTTTTTCCCAGGCTGGGCTTCTTAAATCAGCCGTGTCAGAAGTGCTGAGAGTTGCAGAAGCTGGCCGAGAAGATGCCGCTTCGGAGTGCCAAAGAGATTTATGCCGTCGTGAGATGCCAGACTCCCCTTTTGCCCATCGCTTCTCACCATCTGGACGGTGGGGGGGTGGGGGGGGTGGGCAACCAACACGGAAAAGGAGCGTCTCAAGAGGGCCGCATTTTGGGGTTTATTGTGGATTTCCCCGTGAAAATCTGACTTTAGTCTGAATTCGACGCGGGCTTTGTTCTCGAATTTTAAGCTGGTTTTATTCCGAATCGCAGAATAACGGGGTTGAAAACGAAACGCCCTCACCCCTCACCCGGCAAGACCGAGTTTTGGCTCCGGGTTTGGGGTTCGTTGGCTCGGGGAAAAATTGCCGCTTTTGGTCTTGGATGGGGTGGCACTACCCCCCAAACAGACCCTGTGCGTAATCTGGGGGGTTCTCCTGGACTCCTGCTCAACGAGCAGGTGGCGGTCGTAGCCAGGAGGCAGTGGTGGGATCCTGCCGGTTTAACAACCGGTTCGGGGATCGCGGGTTTCGCTGTGCGCGCGTGCAGAATTTGACCAAAACTAACCTTCCGTGTTACTTCTGGGAAGTAATACAGCTGAGGCGCAGCAATCCGCTCTGCCACGCGAATCCGCTGAGAGGATAAAGGTAAGTAAAGCGCGGCGGGCGGGCGGGCGAACCCACCTGATCGTCGGAGCTACCGGTTTACCCGAACCAGTCTGAACCGGCTGAATCCCATTCCTGCCAGGAGGGCCTTTGTGCAACTGCGGGTTGTGCTCCAGTTACGTCCTTTCCTGGACCGACGATCCCTACTCACGGTCACTCGTGCCCTAGTCACTTCGCGTCTTGACTACTGCAACGCGCACTACTTGGGGCTGCCCTTGAAGAGCATCCGGAAGCCTCCAGTTGGTGCAAAATGCCAGCGGCCCGCGTGGTTTTGGGCAGACCCCGGTGCGCACATGTATCACGCCGCTCCTGCGGGAGCTGCGTTGGTTGCCGATTTGCTTCCGGGTGCAATTCAAGTTGCTGGTTGTCACCTTTAAAGCCCTTCATGGCTTCGGATCAGGTGATCTGAAGCAGTGGTCCCCAACCTTTTTATCGCCACGGCCCGCTGAGCGCGCGCAGGGGTGGGGGCACGGCCCAGGAGCTTTTGCGCACGGCCCATTGCGCACGGCCCAGGAGCCTTTGCGCTGCAGCGTTCATGTCCCCCGGCCGCTGCGCGGCCCGGTGCCAGGTACTCCACGGCCCGGCACCGGTCCGCGGACCGGGGGTTGGGGACCACTGATCTGAAGGACCGCCTCTTGCCGGTCACATCTACCTGACCGGGGGGGGGGTATTAACTTACTTTTCCTACAGGTTCGCAAATGTGAGCGCGCCTTCAACACATGCACCCGGCCTCAAAAATGTGCCTAAATAGGATGGCATAGAGCGATTTCTGTTATCGGTTCCGACGAACCGATCCGAACCGGCTGAATACCTGTACTTCTGTACCCGATCCATTCAGAGCGGGGAGGCAGGGAATGTTGGGGGTCCCGTCCCCGAGGGAGATACACCTGGCGGAACCCAGAAGAAGGGCCTTCTCCGTGGTGGACCCCACCCCTCTTCCGGAAGGCGCTGAAGGCCTGGTTCTGCCAACGGGCCTGGGGAACCAATTAAATGGCTCGTTGTGAGGTGCTGTCGCTGGGGTGGGGGTGGGTGGTTTTAGTGTATTAATTTATTACATGACTTCTTTTATTCGTTTTATTGTTTTTATACGGGGTTTTATATTCTGTAAGACGCCTTGAGTCGCCATGGGGGAATAGGCGGCAATATAAATTTCCTAAACCAATCAATCAATCACTCAATCAATCAATCAATCAATAAACAGCATTATTCTGTTTTTCCCCCCCTCTGCCTGCCCCAAATCTGGGAATACACCCGAGGGTCCATGCGACG